TTAGACTAAAGTGTCAAATTATAAGTTATGTAATAATAAAGTTTGTAAAGCTTTAATTATCTTGTAGAAATGTTAATAGAATCTCCCTAGTGATTTGAACCTCTCAAAATTTCTACAATAACAAACCTACAAAGATACTAGCTCCATGCCAGCAAATTATATTATAACAAAATGAAACTAGAATCAAACTATGATATACGTGAAATATTAAATTATAATCACATAATATAACACATAATTTCACCAAAAAGAGATATTTATGGTACGCTTCTTCTTTCCAAAAATAGTATGGCCCCTCAATGATCCTCAGGAGGTGCAAGGTCAACTATAATATTTGAGATACAAAATTTTTGGTGAGTAGCATTTCAATTTGAATTATAATTTCAAAAATTTAATAAAATAGAATTGATAGACTTAGTTCAAAAAAATTCAATGAAATAATGAAACGTATACATAAGCTAATAATAAAAGAATAAGTTTCTCAGTAATGCAATCGTGAAATTTTAACAATACTATTGGAACAATAAAAAATTTATCAAAATTTGTATTGTGCATAGAATATAAAATTTTCAATTAATGACATAATTAAATAGAATGTTTTTTAAAGAATAAACATAGAAACGATAAATTTAAATTTAGGGGGCTCAATCAAAGCATATAACAAGCGTGGATACAGAGTCCACGAAGGCAAATAATCAATCATGTGTGGACATATAATTCACGAGGGTAAATAACCAATCAAACGTGGCTCAAAACCACGAAACAAGTGTGGAAAAAGCCATAAATCAAGCGCAAGCATAAGGCCTACGAAAATAAACGTGAGCACAATACTCACGAATTACCATCCCTCCGATCCATGTGCATTATTCTTCGCACGAGACTAATACCTCCTGTAAACACTTTGCTAACTAGGTATATCATGGTGCATCAAAGGCTAACAAAACTGCTATTAACATTTAGCGTTTTGAACTCAATCCACTTAATTAAAATCAAATGTGTATGGAACAAGAAAATAATTTTAAAATTTTCACTTCCAAACACTGTTCAACTATCACTTTTGTTCAAAATTTATTATCATTTTCTCCATATATGAATCATTGCATTAAAAATTTATATCAATATAGAATTAAATAATTAAATTGCTTTTGAGAAATAATACCAGTTGTCATATATCCGTTTCAATTATTACTTATCAGCAATATAAATCAGTAAAATCAACACAATATCATTAAATAAATAATTATTAGAAAACTAGAATTACTAGAATATTTGTACAATTTATAAAAGAATAATAGTAAAATTTAAATAAAGAGATTTTATAAATACTTTATTAGAAATTGATTCAAAATGCTACCCACTTACCTAAGAGTTTTTCAAATAATTTTAAAGCTTACCTCTCTTAACTTTTCTCTTTAATTCTAGTGATGCTCTCAATTTCCTAACAAACAAATAAATCATAATCCTAAAATTATTTATCAAGTAATTTTTCAAGCACTTAGTGGCGCTTAAATTTAATCCAACAATATTAAAGATAATACTCTAACTAATTATGCTCCCAGTACACTCAAGTTAGTCAAACCATTTGCAAACATCAACTTATCCTCATACTTTCTTGTAACTCATTCTCAATTATAAATCATAATAAATCATATCAATCATTCTTACGTTTTTTCCAGACTCAATAAAATATTATACAAGTATCCTATATAATCTTTTACCCTGTTTTGATATCTTTAAATTTTAATCAATAGTTCAAATCACTTCTTACACATATATTTATCTAAGTTAAATTACATTAATTTAGCAACATTATTTCTACAAATTTTTTCGTGCATCAAAATTCCGCTCACAATAATCACCCACCCATTTAACCATTTAAGCAACTTCCAACATTAATTCTAAAATCAACATCCAGCTTATCACAACTAAAATCATGCACAGCCTTCACCAAAATTACAACTCAGATTCAAAAAAAAAAAAAAAAATCTCATTACAGGACTAAGAGAAGCAAGGGCGCGTCTGCGGGGAGGGAAGAGTAATTCATGTTGCTATAACTAGCAACTTACCTCAACCAAATTTATCATCACTTCAGCCGCACTTCGATTCATGGATACCACTGAAGGACAGGAAAATAACTTCAATTTAGGCCCTACACACCATGGATGAAGTTGAAAAGATGAGAAATGAAACAGGGGTGGCGGACAAGGAAGGAAATCCGGCGATGACAGCACCCCCCCAATGGCAGAACGTGATGAGGAGAAAAGACACAGTTGACAGTGACGAGCGGCTTGACGGTGAGGGATACTATGGCGGTGACTAGAAGGAAAGATTATGATGCTCTGTTTCAGCACAGGCAATCGAATAAAAAGGGACCGACATTCTAAATAAAAAACTATTTTGAAAAAATTACTTAAAAAGCCCATAACACCTTTCTTTTACCACCTAAAAGGCATGGGTATTTGAAAAAAATTTTCATAATTAAAAAAAAATAAAACCAATCTTTTTCTTTCAGAAAGATTCAAACTCTAAACCATAAATTATTAATATAAATTTTATTATGCTAATATTTTTCATTTGTCAAATAATAAAATAAATAAATAAAATATTAATTGGAGGAAAGAAAATTTATTTACTTCAAAATTTTGGATCATTACAAATACTTAATAATATACAATTTATTTTCTTGCATTCTTTCTTTTTTTGTTTCACAACAATTTTTACTCGATGAATTATGAGAAAATAAAAATAGTTTTATTCAATTAAAAATAAAAATTTTATCCTGGGTCTAAAATTATCAGATCAAATTAAAAATTTATCAACTCATGTTACACTTTAGTAGTCGGAAACACTCCATCCTTTTGATCCAGATCCAATTACCAATTGGTTTTGTAAAATTAGCACAACGTTCTGGACTAAAATTTCTCTGGATAAATCACTTGCTCCATCAGTTTGATCAACATGAGCACAATTCTTCAGTTCATGTCCCAATCTTCCGCATTTAAAACAAAATTTCTGTAATCTTTCACAGTTGATATGAGCTTCTCACTCATTTAAAACCTTTATAATATTTTCGTTTTAAATCTCCAAACTTCTTCGCACAATCTTGGGAGGTGGAGAAGCGGCCCCTATGAGTCATCACCCAGATTAAATAAATCTTGCTCTTCACAGTTAGATATTCACATCATGATGAGCGCCGCGTGCTCATCGGCCGTTTGGCTAATTTGGGCCCTCTATTTTATTTTAAAATGATTTCTACCGTTCATTTTAAATAAATTTTTGATAATTTTAATATTATATTTATTAAAATATAAAATTTAATATTAAATCTATACTATTCAAAATACATCTAGCTAGTCATTTGTAAAAATTATAAAAATTTTAATATTAAATTAAATCACCAAGATTATATTTGTACTTTCCAAAATACTCCAGATAAACAATATGTAAAATTTTAAAAAATAATGTTAAATTAATTAGTCTAAATTAAATCTGCACTGGTTAGATTGACGGTGAACAAGTGTTTATTAAAGAAATTAAATTTTGTTAAAAATAAAAATACAAAACTCTCAAGTCTGAATGGTCCAAACCTCATCATCATTGATGAGTAATATTGAAGATGGTCTATGTCTAATATTAATTTTTTATTTTTATAAATACAATATTAAAAATACTTAAAAATCTATTTAAAATAAATGACAAATGTCATTTTAAAATAAAATAAAAAGCTCAGATCAGCCAAATGGCTGATGGGTATGCGGTGCTCCTACATGTAAACGCGTGCATTTAGTGAGTGAAGAGGGAAGTTGGCGCCAAAAAAAAAAAAAAAAAAAAAAGAACCCACGAAGGCATAAGTAATGGTTGGGTTTAATAGAGACCAAACAAGGATGGGCCTATCGCCACTTAAGCACCATGGGCTTGTCCACAAGTGACACTTACATCATTAGAGCGAAATAGTCAACTAACTACCGGTAAATTGGCTCACTAACCTTAAAACCAAAAAAAAAAAAAAAAATTGTGCTACAAAATGTGAACTAAACTTTTGAAAATTAAAAAATGTGATCAATTCATATTGATATATAAAGAGTTTATTATTAAAATTTATAAGGGTTTATCATTGATATACAACACTATATCATTAACAAATATAATAAATTAGTCATAATGTAAAATATAATAAATATTTATTTAGTTTGGTCTTATAATATAAATTATATCTACAAAAGCCCCATTAATTACAAGTTTCTCATTAATAAAAAAAAAATTTACACAAAACAACTGTAATTTGCTATTCTCTTCCACTCATTTCTTTAAGAAAATTAATCATTTTCTAAAAAAAAGTTGTAATTGATTTTTAATTGTTAGATTTCACTAATAAAAAAATTATTTGTAATTTTACATTTTGTTTTAGTTATTTTTCCAAAAAAAAGTAGTCATTTTAAAAAAAATAAATGGTAACTCAACTTTTGTTATTGGATTTCATTGATAAAAAATTTAGCAAATAATAATTTGTAACTTACTATTTCATTATAGTCATTTTAAAAAAATTATCATTTTTTAAAATAAAACAGTGACCGACTTTTGGCTGTTGGACTTTACTAATAAAATTTTTGCATAAAAGAACTTGTAATTTGTTATTTTGTTATAGTCATTTTTCAAAACAAAGTAGTAACTAATTTTAATTATTGGACTTTACTGATTAAAAATTTAAATTTGCATAAAACAACTTGTGATTTGCTATTCCTTTCTAGTTTTAAGTAGTCATTTTTTAAAATAAAGTAGTTACTTATTTATTAAGAAAGAATCTTCTCTGCATGATCAAATACTCCTATGTCATTTTATTTAAAAAAAAATCAAAGCAAGTTCCCAAAAATTAAAAAGTAATTATCATATTCCACCGTTTAAAGTCATGTACTAGCACCGGATAGTTCTTTAGAGGTATTTTTCTATTGTTTTTCCAAAAAATTAAGAAAACCAGCGAAATCATGCTCGGGAATAAAACATAAGGCGACAAACGTTTGAGTTCCCAATCCAGAACAAATCTGTACTTCTGAACAAAAAGCAGAATTCGATTCGGCAGTTGGTAGAACAAGTTTCCTTGAAACTCTCTCTCCAAGTTCCAATACTCATCACTGATTCTTCCCATTTTATTTCAGTCTCCAAGCGATTTTGGTTCTTCTTCAATGGAGATGGAAGTAAGAGGAGCAGGGCTGATGGTATCGCCATTAGGTGGAAAACAAAACCTAAGAATGGCCCATTTTCTCAAACCTGCTTGCATTCAACACCCAGAATCCGATCATCTTCCCAAAACCCTGTTCTCCGAAGCCGCCATTTCCTTGTCTCAAACCTTATCTTCACAGACAAGATTCACCGGATGGCTGACCCCACAAGAACAGTGGAACACCTGGGAAGAAAATCTTCGTTCCAAGTACGAAAATGTATGGAGAAACGCCGGAATACTCGAAGCCATTAAAGCTTCCACATACCGAATACCAAGAAGCCATGATTTGGTTCTTGGGCTTGCACAAAAGTGGTATCCTGAGACTAACAGCTTTATCTTCGCTTGGGGTGAAGCTACGATAACATTAGACGATGTTATGATTTGTGGAGGCCATTCTGTTGTGGAGTCCTATGTTTTCACACCTCTTAAAGACAAAGAATCGAAGCTGATGGAACAGAGATTAGATGAAGTGAGAAGAAAATTGATAAAGACAAAAGCCAAAAAAGCAACACATGTTTCATGGCTGAGGCATTTCATGGAGGAGGAGGAGGAGGGTGAGTTAGAACACGTGGCATTTCTGTCGCTGTGGCTGTCAAGGTTTGTGTTTCCTCCTATAATTTCCAAACAAAACTTTTCCATTGCATTACATCTAGCTAGAGGTACCCGAATTGCTCTAGCACCTGTAGTTCTAGCGAGTATCTATAGAGATTTGACATTATTGAAAGGAAAATTTGATGAGGCTATAAAGTCTGAAGCTTACAAGAGAGATCATGAATGTGGTTTATCCGCAAAATCAATAATCTTAAGAGCCCCTTTTCAATTGGTTCAAATCTGGGCTTTTGAAAGATTCCCAGCATTTCATCTAAAGTCTAACATAATTGAGTATGCCCAACCTTTGACAGCAAAATGGCACAAAGTGAAAATGCTGAACTATGGAGATGTGAGTTTAGCTCTAGACTCTTCTGCAAAAAGCTTTCTTTGGCAGCCATATAAAGATTCTCCAAAGCTCTACAATGAAAAGGATAGGTGGGTGTGCTTCAATAATTCAGATTCTCATGAGGATTTAGAGTCTTTTGCTCGCTGCCTCAGGCATTCTCAGTTGGTGGGTATAGACTGTATAGAGATGTACCTTCCACACCGTGTGGCGATGCAATTTGCGTTGGATCAGGACATTCCAGAGAAGGTGGCTCGTTGCAAGGAGAACAATCCTGAGATTGCTTGGAGAAACTATGATAGCCCAATGACAGAGGCAATGTTGTGTATTGCTGCTGTTGCAGCATCATCTACCTTGGAGCCAAGTGTTACTTATAAGTACTTGGAATGGTGGAAGCAATCAAAACTTGGAGCTAGCGAACAACATGGTTTGATCTCTAAGCCTATAAAGTTCTCAGAAAAACTGTCACAAATTTCACCTGAGATGGGATCTTCTCTTCATAGAGATCAAACGGGGAATAATTCTGATCAAGATCATGGTTCAGCAATTGAAAAACTGCAGAAGAGATCTCAGTCAAGAAACTGATAACATTTCAATTGTGTGAGAATATGAATGTGGTTGGGCAATCAAAAAGAACCAAGGTAGATGCAAAAATGGAGAATGTGATTGACAAGTCTGGAAGGGCCAAAGAAGGTAAATTTGGTGAGAATGGTAATATATATTTGTCTGATATTGAAACTCGGATTGAGTACCTTGAAAGAGTAGTGGCTCAGCTTAAAACAGCTTTAGTTTGACCCAAATATGGGGTTGTTAGAGCCAAAACTAGTTTATCATAGCAATGGTGATTTTGCTTTCATGGTAAGCTAAACTCAATCTGTAATAAGAAATCAATAGATCAAATTAATTACTAATGAAAAATGTAATCTTGTCAAAAGTTCTATCTTTTTTATATTAATATCAGCTTAAACCAGCTCTTGGTTTTCCCTTTTAATATAGCATTTAGTCGGCTTGCTTTAATGGTTTAGTAGTGGATTCTTGATGTCATGCCCCAAAAATAGAGGGTGACCGGCACGGGTGTGAACTACTCTCACATTTCCGTAAATCTCTAAGTGAATATTTATTCTCATTTTTCAAAAAAAGAACAAAATTCAATCAAATTATATGAGAATTAAAATAACTTCTTTAAATTCATTATCGTAAGAAAGTGTCAACGTTTTTGTAGAAATTTCGGCAGAACCTTCTTTGTAAGTAGGATCTCCTGAAAATTCTACAACAAAAATTTCTTTACAAATATCAATATAAATCAGGAGCGTAGCTCCTTCCAGCCAGTAATCAATATACACACCAAAATAAGGTTCATCAATAACCTATGTGGAACATCTACTCTTTCTTTTAAATCAAAAAGACATACAAATTATATATTTACATTAAATCAACAATACCAATCAAAAAGGTCCACCCACTGCAGCTAGTTGCCTTTTAGAGGTCAATGATGGGATCAGTGTCAGCTAATAAATCTAAGGCCAAAATAATTTTTTAGTAAATAGCATTTCCATATTAAAATTTTTAAAATTTAACTCAACAACCTCTAATAATAGTGTCAGCTAATTAAAAGTAATTTTACTAAAATTTATAAGCATGTAAGTCAATCATATTTGTAAAATATGAGTAAATTGAAAATAATTTATGATATCATGCTTAAAGAAAATAATCTGCTCTCATATAGTTCAAAATGATACAATTTACTAATCAAAATCAGGTAAATTTCAAAAATACATATTAATCAACATTTAACATTTTGATAACTCAACAGAACAGGTTACAAATGTGGACACTTAGTCCACAAGGATAAATAATCGAACACGGCTTATGCCACGAAAACAAACGTGGACACACCAGTCCACGAAAGTAAGTAACCAAACGCAGCTCAGGCCACGGAATCAAATGCGGGCACAAAGCCTACGAATACCAAACGTGAGAATAAAACTCACGAAACAAACTAGCTAGTATTTAACCACAGCGCGCTACGGGCTAACGGAACTGCCATTAGCAGCAATGTTTTGTTTAGAGTCCTCAAAAATTGTGTTTTAAACATTTGAGAAAAATAATTATTTCTGAAATATAATCTGTGTTTCCAATGCCAAACTCCATGCACCACTTGAAATTTTAATTTAAGACTTACTGAAAATAGTCTTTCATAAAATAACATACGAGCTTACGTTATCTAAATAATCAAGAATTTCAAGAGTTTAATAAACCAAATAATTCCATAACTCTTTGAAACATATTCCCTGAGGAAATAAATGCATATATCCTCTTTTAAAGATCTCACATCGATATTACAAAGTTTTTCACAAGAATAAAATATCTCAACGAAAATTTATTAAAAATGAAAATACCAATAAAAATAAATTAAAGAGAATGCTATTCACTTACTTGTGAAAGTTTTGAATTCCCAAAATTTCTTTCTTCAATTTCTATCGGAATTCTCTTCTTCCACACGTCTTATAAGATATTAGTAAGCAAAATTTAATAAATCATCCTTTGATTTACAAAGACTTCCTTCCACTTCTAATAAAATTTTCATCAACCACTATCATTCAAAATTCAAAATTAAAATTTATGCTTTAAGATTATTCCAAACATTCTAACAAGCATCTTATTAATACCAATATTCAAGTAGAATATCAAAGTTATCCTCTTCCAACCTTCCCTTAATAATTTCCTTAACATAAATCAAACCAATCAAGATCTATCTAGCTCCAAAATTATAGCTCATATATGTAGATATGTCTTTATACATGCATATATTATTATTAGCAAGTTTTAAAATAAATTCCTATCTTAAGTTTGAATATTTTCCCCCTACAACAGCACAGCAATAGCAGTAACAAAGGCATAGGTTTTGCAACTTCAACAACTGACCACATACGTGTAGATTAAGAGAGAAATAAAACATGAAGATCCCTCACCTTATCAGCACCACAGACCGAGAGAGAAAAAAAACCAGACAAGTTGGGTTTTCGGCTGAACAGGGGAGAAGACAAACGGTACTGTCACCATGCACAGCAAAGGAAGGAAGCTTGACTCCACAGTACCAATACTAGCTCACCGCAACAGCCCCACCCCAGTCCTAATACTTTGTGTTTTCTTGGCTCTGAACGACACGGATGGCGCAGCAGAGAAGAAGAAAAAAAACAGAAATAGGGAGCAACAGAAACAGGGGCGCGAAGCAATGAAGAAGGTGATGAGGCTCACAAATGAACTAGGAAGGGAAGGACTTGTGAGCTGAATCTTCCTTCTTCAACGTCTCAACTCCTCCCATACCAACGACGCAAGGTACCAAAGAAGACAACAGTAGAAAGCTTGAATGAATCCATACCAAGAAACGAAGGAAGAGGAAAGGTAGTGAAGTTGTGGTAGCTCGAGACCTATGTCAGCGACGATGCGATGAAGGAGAACAGTGGCAGACGGCAGCACAGACAGAAGAGACTGGAGATCAAAACACACACACACTCTCTCTCTGTGGTTTCTGGAGAAGTCGACACTGGAATAGAGCACTGAGCCACACAGATTTTTGTTTCTCTCTCTCTTCACTGTAAACCAACTCAGTTTGCTGCAGAATGTACGTGTTTCTGACTCAAGCACAAATTTTTTTTTTATTACTGTAAAAAGGACAAAAATGGTAATTTCATTCAAGCAAAAAAAATAAAACTTCTCCCCAATATTGGTTCAAACTTGAGACTTGATATTCACATAATCAATATCACCTCCACTGAACCACACTTCTCCTTCATACACATATTTCCAATTAATATAATTATTATTAAACACCAACTTACAAATATATACTTATTATTATTATTATTATTATTATTATTATTATTATAATTTTTTTTAGCTATTACACTTGAGTTTCGTGAGGCTTTGATATTTATTTTGTTGCTGACGATCAGTTTTTGGTAGCATTCCAAATTTGTTACCTTTGGTAGTTCAGTTTATATTTCTTCTTGCCTCAGAATCTTATTACTCTTCCTTTTTCAGTACTTCGTAATGTAATTTTCTTGCTAGGAAATAAATAAATAAATCTCAACTTTGATTATTGGATGGCTCTCTTTTAAGTTTCATTTTTCTTAGGGTGCATGACGCATTGGTTCCGGAAAATTATTTGAATATAATTAGGTCCTAAAATATTTTACTAAAAAAATGTTATTTAAATATTGATTCAGATAATTAATTTATATATGGTGTTAGTTGCAAATTAAGTATTTAAGAGCTTTTATTGAAATACGTATATTTAATAGAGGCAAAGTTGAGAACTTATTAAATTTTAAGACTAGAGGAGTAATTCCTTTTAGTTCTAGTGGTGTTATGTAGTTCCTTTTGATTCTGGTGGTGGTGTAATTTTGTTAAGTTTCAGACTCAATCTCTTGATTTAAAAGAAGGTAGTTATAGCAGAGAATTAGATTTAAAAGATTGAAAATTGATATGGATCCAAACACAAGCACATAAACTTCTCCATTTAGGCTGTGCTAGTTGGATAGGAGTTAAACTTTTCTACTTGCTTTGAATTTTAAGTTGAGCTAGTCTACTCACTTTAATATTCACTTATGATATATGAAAATTAATGCTGACTCAAAGATGTAGATCAATCCAATAGTTAAAGCCTTTGATAGACATTTTGCTAATATTCACTCATGATAGATGGAAATTAATGTTGACTCAAAGATGTGGATCAATCCAATAGTTAAAGCCTTTGATAGTCATTTCGGCTGAAGAAGTCCAAAAAAGAAACATGCTAAATGGTGTCTTTCACTCTAAAACATGGACTTCCATACGCCCATTTGAATTATATATGTTGTATTTGTTAAAAAAAAAAAGAATTATATATGTTGTATAATTTAATTCATATGTAATATTCAATCTTCCTAGGTAAGAACTTTATTTTGTATGGATGAAATAAAATGTGACGAGGTGGAATTAATGGAGGACAACAGTTTTGAAAAGTACCTAGGACTTCTCACTAAGCTGAGTTCAAAACCTAAGACACTTCAAAGACAATATAGTAGGACTTAAAATTTAACTGGATAAGCTAAGTGTACTATGTTGTGGTCTTTTGTGATTTAATTCCTAATTATGAGATTAAACTCAAATTAAATTCACTATAATGAAATAGAATGAAAGTGCTTTGAAATATCAAATTTTCGAATCTTTGGGAAATATTTTTAGAATTTACATTTTAGCCCAAAACTAATGTAAATTGCACTTTTGGCACAAAAATTTTTGAAATTGTAAGTTGAATTAAAATGATCAAAAGGTGTAAAAAATGCCTGTTTTAGCATAACAAAGTAAAAACAAATGAAAACAGGGATAGAAAATAGGTAAAAAATATCATTCACATATCCAAATGATTAAGTTCTAAATTAATGACTATGCTCTTAGTAAAAATAGAATTGCCAATGTAGCATAAGAAAACTAGCCATGAAAGCAAATAATTTTGAAATCAAGTTGGTATTGAAGTTACAAGTTCAACCTAAAGATATGACGCAGTTAATTAAGAGGAGGGATTGGTTATACATGTTTCTATTACTGTTAGTTTCAGGAACTTTTGTGAACCATGCTTTTTTTTTCTTGTCTTTGATGGACATCTATGATCTAACCTTAAGTTTACTCAATACGAGTATATACTTGAGAGACATAGGCAAGTTTTCATTTAATGTAGACTAATTTTTATGAATGAACATCATTCTCATTACTCT